TAGACGCCCGCAGGGGCGAGCGGGGATTTATTCTCTCTCTCTCTCTATTATATACACACACACACATTTGATGACTATACTAAACTTTATTTTGTTATGCAATTGAATCTGGTAAAATTTATTTACTTCTTTCTTCATACAGTACTTGTCCCAGTAGTAATTTTACACCCTGTTAGCATGTGTTTTATTGCCTTAAAAAAACTACAGCCCCTGTGGGAGAACACAGGAAGTGACATCATTTGTTTTTGGAGGAAAATGAGGTAAGATTCAACTGTCACTCTCACTTTACTTTTTTTTTCAGGATATTTTTGCTTCACTTTTGCAAACAACTTGCTAACTGTGCTAAGCTAATGGTATGGACCTATTCCTAAATGGTTTGTTCCACTTTTCAACCTGTGCTTTCATAAAAAGGTGGCGTATTGAATTATGTTACTGGTCCTTGTTCATGTTTGATGTTGTGTGTTCCATTCTGGTATTTTACAGCTGCTTGCATGTTTTATTTTCTTTGTTAATGATTTTTTGTTTCTGGTTTCTGACGTACTTTTTAATGAACAAATATATAAGAAGCAAAGATGAACCGTAGATGTTTACTGAGGTTCTGTCCAATAATATGACGCGAGACTGGAGTAAAAGACATCCATGGATTGGCACTTTATTAATGAAGGAGCATGACAACAGCACAAACACTAACTACAACTAAACAGAATGGCTTCCTTTTATACTCTACCTTTTCAGGTGAGCCCCAGTGTGGGGGTTAACTAACCAACATGAAAACATAACCCTCCACACAAACAAACATACAATAACATTAAAGCACATAACAAACATATACATATTTCCAACACGTACTATAAACAAACCAATAACATAAGCTTCACCCATCACTATCTAAATTAAACCCTCTTTAACCACACTCCCTAACCTGACACACTTAAGAGCTCTTAAACAGGTGATTGAGCAGCTTTCACGCTTTTGCTCCTCATCCTGCAAGAAGCAACCAGGACAGGTGAGTACCTTTATAAGTTCTCATTTCACACATGTTTAGGTTATTGGCAGATGATTAACTGTAAACAGCTCTAACTTTGGCTCTTCTCTGACACCGGTAGGATGGCCAGTCACCCTGTCTCTCCACCTTCACAAGCTGTCAATTTAATCGTATGTCAAAATAAACCTAATAAAAGACTCCATAAGAACTAATGTGTTTTCTTTATTACCCTATTTTAAATTCCCAATCCAACCATTTATCATTAACAATACCAACCAGGTAATGGAACGTGCTCTGCTCCATCCTGTTTGGAAAAATGTTTTTTTGAAATGAAAAAGATTACTGAACAGTACCAATAAGCGTTGTGAAAATGTTTGTGCCAAGTTGAGAAGACGGGAACATTAAATGCACAAATATGTATGTTTTTAAAACTGCAAGTATTTTCCATGCTGTCGGGAAACATGGGTTAAAATAAACTGGTTTTTGTATAATACAGACCTGTGGTATATGTTATTAAATAACTTGTTACAGAGAATAAAACATTATATTACCAAAAGGGACATACTTTGTCTAAAGACACTATTGATCAATATTTACATGTTTATTTCTGGTCTATATGTAAACGTCCCTAACAGGGTGGAACACAATCAGAGGCCATGTTTAAGAAAACTACCTGTAATTACTATCTTATCTATCCCTGAGCTTCACCATAATGGGTTTCATATAATGAAACATGTCAGTATTAATACAAATAATAAAATATAACACAATAGAAAACACATTAATGCATGCTCAATCATCCAGGTGTGTCTGTGAAGGTTCTCAGTCATCCAGGTCATCGTCGTCTAAGGAGCTTGCAAAGAAAAGCGTCTGGACTTCTTGAGTTGCTTGAAGACGTTTCACCTCTCATCCGAGAAGCTTCTTCAGTTCTAAGGGTCCAATTGGTGGAGAGTCCCAGATTTAAACCTCCCACTGGGTTTAAAACTGGCTGCAATCACAGCATTGTAAGATGGTGACAGATGGACCCTTAGGCCCCCTCCTCGATTCAGAGATGGGCTTTCCCTTTTCACGTAAATGAAAGGGAAAGACTCCGCCCTCAAACCAGTGCTCCTCCCTGTCCATGATGTTACATCCTCATCATTGAAAGAGTGTCCACTGGCCTGCAGGTGTAAACAGACTGCAGAGTCCTGGCCTGACGAGGTGGCTCTTCTGTGTTGTGCCATCCTCTAAGCCAGGGGTTGTTTGGTTTCCCTGAAGTATAAATCCTGGCAATCCTCCTGCATTTAACAGCTACACTATGTTACTCTGTGTCGGGAGACCCGACCCTTGGGGTGGACCAGTTTTTGGTATTAGTTTAGTTTTTTAGTTCTGTACTGTGTACTGTTTATAAGGTTTGGGGAAAACTGCAGTCAGCTGAGACTGAGGACGTCACCTGGATGAGTGACGAAACGTTTCTCCCACTGATGAACAGAATCAACCTTTGGGAATATCAAACATAAATATATATTTTTAAAAAAGGTATGAAGCTAAAATGTTGCCACAAAAAGAGAATCACCATTTATCAATGCTGCAGCTGGGCGAGCGATCAGCAGCTTTGTCAATAATCTTCATCACATTTCCACATGAAATAGAGAGGACACGTGACTTTATTGATCAGCTGATTTCACCCAGTTTGATCTTCAGACGTATGCACCAGTCAGAGCTCCAAGTGCAGTATGGGTGACGACGTTTTTGTAGAGCTTCATCCGTACAAGTTAGTCCTTGAACCGCACAGGAGGAGGGGGAGATAAGATACACCTTTATTAT